GGTCGCACTCATCCGTGTGGAATTGCTGCAGTGTCAGGATGCGTCGCTAATGATAAATTCACGTGGTGTGTCCCCCGCTGTGGCGTTGCCCGGAACTTTTTTGCCGACGCCCACGGCGAGTGTTGCATCCCCGGCCGTGCAGTCTGGGCCGCCACGCGATGGGGTGGAAGCCGGGGCCGCAGCAGCAGCAGCGGCGGCGGCGGCGTTTCCATTGCCGCCGTCACCACCAGCAGCGAGGAGCGAGTCACGGGGGCTGCGCCGATCGCCCCGTGCGAGTTGGAGTCCTCCCATCCTCGAGGGGCGCGATCCGCGGCAGCTGGTGACGCGCGCCGAAGAGTTGCGGTCGGGGGACTACGTGATGATCGTCGTTGGGGGCCAAGAAGCAGCCGCCGTGCGTGGCAACGCCCCTTTGACGTCTGTGTACGCAGCTGTCCCGCCCGGCCGGCTGCGTGTTTGTCGCGAGTACCCCGTCGGAACGCTGCGGGAGCTCTTTGATCTACGCCCGTCGCAGCGCATCTTCTTGGGCGACACTGCCATTGACGACGAGAGTCTGACGTTTGAGAAGTTGGGTGTCGGGCCGCTGCAGCGCTTCAGCTTCTGCTCGGAACCGCCATCGAGGGCGGGATTGAATGCGACGAGAACGAGGATGAAGACCGCGGTGCAAGGGGAAAGGGAAAGGGAAAGGGAAAGGGAGAGGAGGCGGCAGCCGCACCGGAATGATGTGTATGAGGGAATTGTGCTGTCGCGAGCGGCGTCCCCGACGGAGTGCGACGACAGGGCGGCGGCGCTTCCCGACCAGGGCCCTGGCGCCGCTGCCGACGCCGGGAGGGGCAGGGGAAAGGCGGGTGAAGGCAGGCATGGAGCGGGGGGCGACGGCGGCGTCGACGATGACGGGAGGCACGAGCAGCGGAAGGGGGAGGGTGGTGGTTCCGAGCAACCCACGCCTGCGAGCGTGGCGCAGCTCTTGGACGTGAGCGTGGACGGGACGGAGGTGGAGGTGCCGTGGCACAGCGAGAAGGCCCCGGATGAAATTTACACGCGTCCCCTTCCGGCACCGCCGCCGTCGTGCGCACCGGCCTCGCAGTTGCCGAACGCTGTGTCCCTGCATGAGGGCAGTGCGACGTCAACTAGACCCGTTAAGAAATACTTCCAGGCTCACACACCGCGTGAGTCGCGCGGGGGTCGCACATCCAGCGAGGAGGTGCCTGTTTGCTCGAAGGAGACTTCCTCGCCAGCTGCCGGCCCGACGAATGCGCCTCCTCCTGCGGCAAGGCCGGCGCCGCAACGCTCCGCAGGGAAAGTGTCGAATGCCGCCGGCGAAGCTTCCGATGCGGCCGTGCCCCATGCCCCTGCGTCTATCCTTGCAACGGGGCCCCTCCCGAGAGAAAGCCGTGGGTTTGCCTCCTACTCTGGCCGGGAGGCCTGCCGGTGGCGGCGGCCTCCACCACCGCCACCCGCCCCCCCACGGCGGGAGTCCGGAGTGGCGAAAGACGCCGAATCCGCCGGGGCCCATCGAACCGCTTGGCGTCGGCGCGACGCCGCCGTTGATCCCCGCGACCCGAGTCGTCGGTAGCGTAACTTTCCCCGTTGAGGGGCGGACCTGCCGGGGTGGGCATTCCTCGCGGGTGGCCGCTAATGAAGAAGGAGGATGCCAAGTCGCCGTGGCGTGTCCGCCGCGGGACGATGGCGCCTTCTGGCACGGAGAATATCGCCTCCCTGCAGGCCACGGAAGGAGGCAATGACGGTGCATTTTCGCCTCTTCAGAAGGAGGGGCGGCACACCGCCCCCGCCCCTCCCGCCGTTCGATGGCTGACGTTTTTTCGTGTGTGTGGCGAGGAGGGAGGGGGTGGGGGGACGCCGAAGAGAAGTCGTGTGCCTGTGCCATTTGTCTCGCATGCACGTCGTCTTCCGCCTTCTTCTTCCCTTTCTTTCTTTGATTTGTCGTTTCCCCGCGCCTTGTCTCTATATAACATATATATATATATATATCTTTTCTAGACCTTTGTTTGTTATGATTTGTTATTATTATCATTATTTTTCCCTCTGCCGTTGCTTTGGGAGCTTGCGGGTGTGTGTGCGTGTGCGTGTCTGGGGAGAAGGGCACCATTGCGGCAGGTGCGCGCGCTGGTGTGTATGTAAGTATTATATGTGCCTTTTATATATATAGAGAATGCGGCGGCGTCGTGTGGATGTGCCGGGCCCGATGAGTTTTTATTTTTTATTTCTTTTCCTTTTCCACACACACACACACACTGCAAAAAAAAAAAGAAACGATGACGGAACTCACGGAGCCATCTTCTTCTTTCCACCTCTTCTCGGATTTCTACTAAGCGGACCCGTACGACCCAGACAATGTTTTCTGTGAAAGAACACTTATTCCTTTGTTTTTTTTTCATTTATTTATTCGCTTCCTACACACGGCCGCAAGGGTTCCGCGAGGGGTGGGGCGGGGGTTGCTGGCAAATAGATGCACGCCCTCACCTCGGCGCGGCGCGGCGATAATTGGGGGGAGTGTGTAACCCACACTTGTGGGTGTGTTTTGTCTTGCCTTTGCTTCTCCCTCGCTGTCTATCTATCTCCCTCTCTGTGTGTGTGTGTGCGTGTGTGCTGCGGCGGAGTTGACCCCGGCCACACGTCTCTCTGCGTGTGTGGGCATGGCGGCTGCGCATGCCTGCCTCTTCGTTTACTCGCCCTTCCTCTTCTTCCTGGCTGGGACGCCGAGGCACGGCCGCCCACGTGAAGCATTAGCGGCGGGCGGAAGTAACCGAAGCAAAGGAGTTAGAGGAGGTAGAGGAGGGAGGGAAAGGAGCAGTAAAGCGGCGGCCATGTTGCGGTTGTGCTTCGTCGCCCGGGCGGCGGCAGCGTCGTCGTCGTCGTCGTCGTCGTCGTCGTCGTCACGGGATGACGTGGGCGGTGGTGGTGAGGGGCGGAAGCGGCAGCACGAGGCGTTCATGCGCTTCTTGACGGCGAACAAGGCCAGCTTTGACGGGGTGGACGTGCGGCCGAGCGTGGAGCACAGCCGCGGGCTCTTTGCCACGCGGCCGTTTCGGGAGGGCACGACGGTGCTGTCGGTGCCGATGCACACGTTGGCCCTCAGCGCGGAGCGGCTGCTGGCGGGAGAGCGTCTCCGCGCCCTGCAGCCCCCCTCGTTGGAGGACGTCCAGCGTCTCCTGACCGCGCGCAGCATCAAGGACCCCGTCCTGGGCGAGCAGGTGCACCTGGCGCTCCTCGTTGCGGGCGAGCGCATGGACCCGGGCTCGTTCTTCGCCCCCTACCTCGACGCCCTGCCGTGCCCCGCCGTCAACGACGAGGCGGTGATGCGGCTGCACAAGGACGTGCTGGACCCCATGCAGCTGCTGGAGTGGGACGACCACCAGCGGGAGTGGGTCGGCGTCTTCCGGGCACTGGCGCGCCGCTGGGGGGAGAAGAGCCCGCCCGTTGAAGTCTGCTACTGGGCGTGGCGGACGGTGCTGAGCCGCATGCACCTGCTGCCGGACCGCGGCCTGGCTCCCGCGGAGGTGGGCTCCGCGCTGAACTACTTCGCACTCTCCACCTTTGAGCGGGCGGAGCGGCAGACGCGGTGGCGAAAGCGCATTAGGGCCGCCATCGGCGCCGTACTCGGCGACGCCAACGCCGCGGACGACTACCGCCTCGTCCCAACGCTCGTGCCGCTGCTGGACATGACAAACCACTTGTCTTCGGGAAACGTGAGTGTGGAGGTGCAGCCGCGGCCGGAGGTCGGGAGCTGCGCGGAGTTGCAGGCCGTGCGGGCAATTGAGGCTGGGGAGGAGATTGGCCTGTGCTTCAACCGATCGCACGGGGCGCCCTTCACGCTCTATCGCTTTGGGTTTCTTCCCGTATGAGGAATGAAGAGGAAGGCAAAGGGAGGGAGGGTGCGGACGGCGAAGGAAACTGTGTGCGTGTGTGCCTGTGCTCTCCTCCTCCTCCTCCTCCGCGTCACACCCTCCTCCTCTCCCGCACCTCACATGCCTCTCCACACGCGGCTCGGCGAGCGAAGCAGCGGAGAAACAGGGGCAGGCCCAGAGCAAGGAAGCGCATACAAGCAGAAAAGAAACGAAAAAAAAATAAGAGTGAAGAAAAAGGCAAGCAAACAGCGACAGCAAGAGGACCCACAAGCAGGGCTGAGCGGGAGACGCGGAGGAGGGGAATTGCCGCCGCCGCCGCCGCCGCCGCCGAACGACCGCCAATGCCTCTGCCACACGAACGAAGCCAACAGGAAAAGGAAGAGTAGCTGGGGCGAATAAAACACTCCAAGGAGAATAAAAGTTGCGTTGCAGCTGCTACCCGCCGCTGCTGGCGACGTTGGGGAGGAAACACACGAGCGTGTTGATTTTCGTCGCGGTGAATGCAAGTGCAGTTTTTGACGCGGGTGCGATCTTTGGCCTCACGCGTGGGGGAAAAGGCGCGGGTTTTTCCCGGCGATTTCATTTGGCCCTTTGTCCTGCTGACGGGAGAGTACGCGCATGTGTGCGTGATTGCCTACCGCACGTTTATCCACTTTCGTTTGCGGCAGGCACTGCGCATCACCTTCGGTGTCCCCGCGGGCGGCGTTGTGCTGTACATGGCTCATGCCTCCTGGGCGTGGTACCCGGAGCCGGCCGCCGCCATAGACACAAGCTCCGTCGCGGGGCACCGTCCCGTGTTTCACTCCACCGCCGAGCTGCTGGACTTTGCCTCCACGTGCTCTCGCCGCTACCACCGCCTCTGTGAGTCGGGGGAGGGGATAAGTCCCGCCTGCCTGAACGAGTTGGTGGGTGACATGCTCACCATCCTACGCTCCATTGAGGCGATTGAGGGGAGCTTTGAGGAGCGGGCGCTGGTGACGGCCTCGCTGACCGTCACGGATCCCTCGCGCGGGGTGGAGCAGGAGGCGTCACCCGCCGAGCTAGTGCTGCGCGTCGTGCTGCTCGTCGCGCTCGATCAGGGGTGGTTCGACATTGTAGAGGAGGCGCGGAAGATGTACGGCAACCTCGTGCGCGAGCACCCCGTGCCGCCGCAGGCAAATGTGACGAGCGCCGTGGCGGACTTGTGCGCACTTTCTTACGAGCTGGAGAGTTGCACGAGTTCGTCGGAGGTGACTCTGTTGCAGCGCCAACGCGTGGCCCGCGCCATTGACGCGTTTCGCCCAGGGAGCTCGGTGCGTGAGCGCTGCACAATTGCCGCGGAAATCGGCGTTCTCCCTCTTGTCGATCTCGACAAGACAACCCGCTGCCTTATGCTGACGCGTCGCAGCCCTGGGCGGCGGCCGCAGCTGATCATCACGTTTGTCGGTTCAAACAGCGTGCGCAATTGGTGGAGAAACCTTCGCTGCGACCTGACGGAGCTCCCCGCCGAGTTTGGCGTGCAGGCGCGTGTCCACAAGGGCTTTCTGCAGCTACTGGAGTCAATCGCGTTTGAGGAGGTCGCCGTGGAGTTTGACCAAATTATCCTCATCGGCCACAGCATGGGTGGGGCGCTGGCGCAGCTTGCCGGACTCTACTTGGCGAACGAGAGGCCTGAGAGGCGTGTCACGATCCTGACAGTTGCCTCCCCGCGTGTTTTTGCCTCCCCGTGCGGCGTTTGGCGGCGTGTCGCGGATTGGATGCGCGGTCGAGACGGGGCGGGAGAGGCGGCGGCGATCGCGCCGCCCTGCAACTGCCGTCATATACGCGCCTTCATGTGTGCGGACGTCGTGCCGCGGCTGCCTCCCGCCTTTCTTGGGTACCAGCACGTGGGCACGCCACTGCCGCTGCACACGGGGTGTCCCACGCGGATGTCGTACGTTGGCTGGGGGCTGTGGTCCTGCCTGTTCCACACGGCGGACATGTACAAGGCAGTGCTGGAGCGACCGGCCGTGGCGCAGCTGCACCGCTACGAAGATGTGTCTGCATCTTCTGCCCATTGATGTCAGCAGCGGTGCGAGTCTGCCGCCCGTCTGCTTGCACGTGTGTGCGTGTGAGTGTATGGCGCGCCATCAAAAGAGAAGAACAAAAGTGCTTTTTTTAAATGTTGTTGTTCTTGTTGCTGCACTACCGCTGCCTGCGTGTGCGTGCTTCTTTTTCATTGGGCTTGCGCGTTCTCGCTTGTTGGTGTTCCTCTCCTTCTTGCCGATGGGACGCGCCGGCGCCTGCCTGTCGCACCTCCTCTTTTCTCGCCCTCCGCTCCCTCTTTGCTTCCGCCTTCCGCGCGCTTTTTGCGGACGGCAGAGAAAACCCACGACGACAAGCTCCGCTACCAATGGAGACCAAGAAAAACGCGCACCGCTTGAACCGCATCTTCCGCAAGCCCAAAGTGATGGTGGCGCCGCGCGGCTGGCGGGAGGAGGGCGACGAAAATAACCTGCACAGCGGCGTGTCGCTCGCGCTGCTGAATGCGATGGTGCAGGAGCTCACGGACGACGACAAGACCCGCGCGGCGGCCCGGCAGGACCCCCCTTCCCTCGTGCAGGAGGAACTCGCCAAGCGTGCGGCCCGCTTTGGGCTCCCCGTGGGGTCGCCCGGCGACGGCGACGCGTCGCTGCAGAAGCGCATGGAGCGCTTTGGTGCTGCGCAGACGACGCCGGCTCTGGTCGTGGACGAGGCGACTCTCAAGGCCCGCGAGGCCCGCTTCAAGTCGCAGGAGGAAACCGCGATGGACGAGGCGATGCAGAAGCGACTCGCGCGGTTCGGCGCCGCCCCCGCGGCGGTGGAGCTGAAGCTCTCGGAGGCCGACCGCGAGGCGATGGCGCGACGCGAGAGCCGGTTTGCCCCCTGCTGAGTCCCCGCTCCCGCCCCCTCCTTTTCTTTTCCCTTTTTTTCACTTAGAAATAAAAAAAACACACGATACATCTTGACGTGCCCGCCCGCGGTTTCTTATTGGGACGCCGCCCTTGTCAAGGAAGACGGCGACGGCGTTCGCGACCGCCCACTGGCGGAGGAGGCGGGTGGGGGAGGCGTCGATGGGACGCAAAGGACGAGGCAGAGCGGCCTGACACTTTTGTGGCGGACGCGGGGGGCAGGGCCCACCTCGTCGTGGGCACTTCGTAGCGTGCCTGCCGGCGCCTGTTTTGGCCGTCGTCTCCCCACAGTTGTGGACTGTGTTGCTGCTCTCTGTTGTTGTGCCGCTTTTCGCTCTCTGCCCTCACTTTGCGCTGCCGCCCCCCTCCCCCACTTTTTTTTCCTTTGCATTTCGCGTGCATGTCTGCTCTCCGCGTGTGAGCGTGTGAGGAGCTTGCCGGGTGCCGCTCTTCCTGCGTCTGCGGGCACTCCGCCGGTGTGGCTTAGGGTGGTGGCGGGAATGTCCGGGGGCGGCGCCGACGGCAAGGCCGAGCAGCCGTCTGTTCCGGTGCAGCTGACACGCTTAGTTCCGGTGCGGGTCGTCAGCGTGCACGGCGACTTCTTCGACACGGAGCTGCACCAGGACGCCCCCATGCGCATCCTGCAGCAGGCGGCGGAGGACTGCTTCAAGGTGCGTCCCGAGCTTCAGCTGCTCACGCACAACCGGCAGCAGATCAACCCGAAACTCTCGCTGCGGCGCAACGGCTGCCTGCTGTTGAAGGGGGACCCCTACGTGAAGATTGTGCTGGACATTAAAAAGGGCACAAAGTTGAACCTCGTCTGCCAGGTGCCGCACCACGAGCCCGTCCCGCTGGCGTGCGAGGGAGCGGACACTGTGTGGGAGGTGAAGAAGAAGCTGTGCACCGCCCTCGCCAAGGCGGAGCTGACGCCGCAGCGCATACGGCTGCTGTGGCGCTACTGGGAGCTCAACGACAAGGCGACGTTAGATTACTACCACCTTCCCACCAACGCCAAACTGTCCGTGATGCGGAAGCGCGGTTTTGTAGCGAAGCCACAACCCCAGCAACAGAGGCGCGAAACAGGCTCTGTTGCGGCAGCGGGGTCGGATGGAGGTTTCGGTGCGACGACGGCGACGGCAGTCGCGACACCGCAGCAGGGCCATCGACCCGCTGCTGGGATAGAGAAGGTCAGGGGGCACACGGTGGCGGGGCCGACGGTGTCCATCTCGCCGTGGACCGTGCCGCCGCGGCAGTTTGGTCACGCTGTGATTCCGCTTGATCCGCTGACGAGCAACCTTGCGGCGACTTCTCCGGAAGCTGAGGCACAGCTGCGTCCCGCGACGGGCATGGAACTAGCGGGGGCCGCACCCACGTTGAACGCGTCCGAAATCGCCCAGCTGAAGCAGGAGCTTGCCTCACTCGAGCGCCGCATTGCGACATCTGGCGTCGATCGCGCGGACTACGAGTTGCTTGAAGAGTCCTATCGCGCCACTCTGGGACGGGTGGCCGAACTAGAGGCCACCATGGGTCGCTTTCAGCATCTGCTAAAGCGGGCGCTCACCCTGATGTGACTCCATCGCCTGGCGGCGGCGGCGGTGCTGGTGTTTTCGCGAAGTATCTTTTCCTATTCCCTCTTGATTGCGGTAAATGGTGTGTGTGCGTCTGATTGTGTTCGACTGGCGACTTCTTCTGGCTGGTCCTCTGCTGCCCTCGTCGTTTCAAATCCCCTTCTTTTCTTCCTTTTCCCGCCGCCCCCGGCGCGCAGGCAGAAGCAATAAAAAGAAATGAGGCACCGCGACGATAAAAATGCGGCCCGGATGATGCCAGTGCGCCGTGGCCGTGCTTTCCCGCCGCGACCCGTAGTGACAGTTCGCCCATCTGCTGCTGCCGCGGGCGCGTGCGGAGAAACAGGGGACTGGAAATGGAGCCAAGCGGCGGTCGGGCCCAACCCCCGCCAACTATAGAAGAGGCTTAGTGTGAGGCGAAAGGGAGCTGGAGCCGCTCTTGTCGTGTGTGTTTGGTGCACTTTCTTTCTTGCCTTTTCCAACTTACCTGAAAGCAGCAGCAGCAGTAATAATCATAAGCTCGCTTTCCCTGGCAAAGCCCGCAGGGCCGGCGGGTTCGGCGCCTCGCAGGGAGGGACGCCAAGAGCCAACAATCAGTCCCCTACCGCGACTTGGCGTTGGTTTTCGGTGGCGGCGGTCGGGCTATTTTTTGGGTGGGGCCGTGTGCGGGAGACTTTTTTTTTCTCTCGCGGCCATTCCGCCTCTGGACGCGTGCGGCGGCGCCTCTTTCAATGGGCGCCGCCGGCTTCACTTTCGCCGCCGCGCAAAGAAGTGGAGGCGCGGCCCGAGCGCCCTTGCCGGAGCCGCTTCCTCCTCCAAAATGAGTTGGGAGCGACGGGGCCGCAACGCATCTTCTTCCAGACG